AAAAACACTGAAATAATATATATTAATTAATTTTATGTTATAAGCTCTTGGTTGTCTTGAAAAGTCTAATATTCTTCCCAAACAAAAAAAATGCTTTCAAAGTATTGAATCGAACTTTAAACCTGCTTCCAAAAACTTGGAAATAATAAAATATCTTTTACTGATAGCATAAAAAATTCAAATTTGAATATTAATTGAATGTAATTTGGCTTAGGACTTGTAGCGATAATTAAATAAATTCTAATAAGTTGAATAAATATATATAAAAAATAACTTCGATTATTTCTTCAAAAATCTCGTGATTCAATTATTTTTATCGTTATCGTATGCGCAGATTGAAATTTAAAAAGCGATTAGATTCCCGCATTTTAATTCCGAAACCCCCTAATTAGTACAGTAGTAAGTTAAATATATAAAGATCGATTACTACTGGGTGAATTCAAAGATATCAACCGTTGTAAAGATTTGTTATTAACTTTATCTAATTTATCCGTGCTGATTTAGTAGAGAATATTTATTAATGTAGAGTTCCAACCTGGATAAATCCGTCATCCGTTTATCCATATCTACCGTAGTGCACTGACTAAAAGACCCCCATGTAAAATACCCGGGTATAATATATGGTGTAAAATTATGTAATTCTGGTAAAATTCCAAAATTTTGGCCCAGTAACAGTCAAAATATCCCCGGGTCTTTTAGTCAGTGCACTACGGGTAATTATCCAGATAATTCAAATCGCTCAGATATCCAGATAATCCGATAGGTATACGGATAATTAAACTGGATATCAATAGCGATAGTAAATGGATAATTTTAAAGAAGCCATCCAAATTTGTATTTCACGTGGTAACTCATGGGTCCACTCAACGGTCCACTCAACGGGTGAAAACTGGTTAGACAGATAGGCCCAATTACTATCTGGGTTCTATCAGGGAGACATTTTTTCAGACAGGTCTAATCACTACATACATACGTACGTACGTACAGCATGTAACTGATAGATTTTGTATGATAGCGATAGGACATCACTACAGTTATTTAATACAGTAGCTCTGACATTAGATTGCTTAAATGGAACTAAGTTGAACATACGTTTAATATTATAATGAACCTCGTTATAACAACTCACTAGAAAATTGGTTATAAGTACTGTATATATATTTGAAATTGAATACTGTATGTATTTACATTAACTTCAAGTATATATAAACAAAATCCGCTGATAAAACAATCTCCTCTGTAATATAATAGACTTTTTTAAATTTACGCTAATTTTTGATAAGTCACTAAATAGGGCTTTTTTTAATCACTAAATAAATCACTAAATGTCATCACATTATATATATATATGATTTTTATATTTTACCGCACATGCGTTGTGACGCACCTCATAAGATAGGGTTAGGGTTAGGGTCCGGCATGGGCCACCCGTTAGGCCCATTGGGCTTTTTTTTGAAAATTAATTTGGGCCACATCTCATAGTGCTAGTCACGTGGTGATTTATCATGTGACTGGCACTTTTAGGATTAACTTTCCAAAAAAGCCCAATGGGCCTAACGGGCCGGACCCTAGTTAGGGTGAGGGTTAGTGGTTAGGGTTGAGCGCTTTAGCAAAAGGCCCTAACCCAAAATTTTGCAAGGAATTTTTTTTGTTAGAATACGAAAGGTAGTTTCATAAGCGAGATTTTGAGTTACAAGTGTTTTTTTTTAGAAACATCGCTATTTTTTCGATTTCGCGTTACACCTGATCCTACTATCTGATTGGTTGATCATATGGGTGCGTTACAGCGCATGTGCGCTAAATTATATAAACCTATATATATATATATAATATGTAATAATTAGTAATCGTTATAATCTTTTTATAAAGGACTAATACTAGCAGAGATATAATAAGGTCCTGTTTAGGGACTTATCAAATTCAGAATCATCAATTCTTTATAAAGAGTTGACTGTATTTGGGAATCAGTCTGAGGGAAGTCTTGGCTATCAAACTGTATCTATAGAAAAATGTTAAGTATAGTGCAGTGAAAGACGAAATTGAAGAATAATAAAATATGTATTAGAAAAAGTTGCACTTGTGTAAATTTTTACATTTCAAATGCAGCAGTTTACGAATTTATGCCAATATCCATAAAAGTTAAAGATTTTTCTTAATATTTATTTTAAATGAATTTTAAGTTCTTTGGTCATGCATTTATACGTACTCTGCGGATTCATACGTATCGATATTGATTATTGTAATTACTAATTTTAGATAGATAAATTTCTGTATTAAAAAAAAACGGTCATTTGGTGGTGAACAAAAAAAGTGGATTAGTGTGTTAAGTTCGTCCTTCACAATTAAAAAACAAACAAATTAATTGTTTAGAGTCTATTCAAAGAGTTTAATTTTTGCATTACTTTAATGTAAATATTATTCGTTGTTTGTTTATTATATATATTCTTCTAAGTTCTTTTCTGTATAAACATTTAGATTAGGAATATTTCACGTGATAAATTGTGTGAAACTGTAGCATTTAGGCGTATATAAATACTTGTGCTTATTTCATTTGTTACATTGCAGTTCACTCTTTTTTTCATCATATACGATATTTATCAAGCAATTCATTTTATAATGTCTTTGATACCTGTTGAAATTCTTCGCTTAGTTTTTGGACTTTTATCTAAAGATAAGAAGTCTTTACGTTCTTGTCTTTTAGTGAATCGAACTTGGTGTGAAAGTGTTGTTTCAATTTTATGGAATGATCCATTTCAATTTATTAATGAACCATCTTCTTTAATCATTCAAACACTTATTTCGTGCCTTAATGAACCCGAATTAGAAGTTTTACAGAATCGAGGAATCAATATAGAAGATTTAATAATGAATAGACCTACTTTTGATTATGTGACTTTTATGAGACATCTAAAATACGTTAATTTATATGATTCAACTTCAGTTTGGCTAATGCAAAATTTAGGTCAAGAGGGTAAGAATTATCCCCTCGAATTTTTTGTAACCAGAGAACTTTGTAAGCTTATAATGAATCGTTGTAAGACTCTTCTTACTTTATCTATTAGCACTGAAGGCATGGTATATTTTATTGATGAGAATGATTATGTATCGATACCATGTTTTCCTGGTGCTAGTACTTGTTTATCTCTTCTTCAGGAATTCACGTGTTGTGGAGCATTTGATAAGAAAGAAATTTTTAAGACTATGGCTAAGTCATGTAGAAATATTCGATATTTATATATCGATTATTATTTGGATGATCGTAAAACTGCGGCTCCTTCGGAGCTGGTAAAACTTATCAAAAGTCAACAAGCTTTAATAGGATTCAAACTTGCTATATTTGATAGAGTATCTGATATTGTTTCTGCTTTGAAAAGTCAAGAGAAATCTTTAACATATGTGGAATTTCGTGGTATTGAATTTGAGGATGATGTTACATTTGAATCACTTGTGAATTGTACCAATTTGAGGTCTTTTTCTTTATTATCATGTGATAGTGTGACTGACAAAACATTAGAACCTTTAGCAACTGCTTCTTTCCCTAAATTGAAAACATTTATCTTTAAAATTTTACCGAAACCTCCTGCTACTGTATCATCATTTATTCGCAGTAATTGTATTAGTTTACAAGAATTAATTTTGGACTGGCAACAAATCACCGATCCAGCTGATGATCCAGAAATTATTGAGACTATCATTGAGCATTGCCCTAATATAACAAGTTTTGACGCTCATTTAAAGATTCCACAACAATTAATTCCTTTCCTACGAGCATGCACTGAATTAAGAAGTTTAACTGTTCATGGTAAAGAGCGAGTAGTTGCCGATGAACTCTTACCGCAACTTGGTCCATTAATTCCTGCGAATATGTTTAAATTAAATATATGTGCTATTTGGACATTTACTCCATCAGCATTACAAGAATTTTTAGATACATGTATTGCTCCATTAGAATTTTTAGGTATTCGAGAATGTTATGATATAACAGATGAACATCTAGACATCCTTTCACGGTACGCGGAAAAGGGAACATTGAAATATTTGAATATTAAGGCTGCATCAAGGATCACAAAAGAAGGATTAGAAAATATCTGTAGAGTTGTTGATGTTATAGAGCACGGTGACCCTTCTTAAAGCATTGGTTCAAGCTAAGATGTTATTTGAAAAAGAAACTATTACAATAGCGTGAGTGTTGGTTATACATAGTAAAGAATATAAACAAATGAGAAAAAATTTACATTTTATATATTTTCATTACTTTTTTGTAGACTAATTTATTTTACAAATTTTTGTTAATTAATCAGTATAAACATTATAGAGCATTACTTCTTTAATTCTAGCTATTTTTATGTAAAATTTTTTTTGATTTGTTTACATTTCTCGCGATTTAACATTTATAACTGTTGTTAAACTTATATTTTTTATACGAATAAATTATTGCTATAAATACAAATTGAAATAGATATAGTTGACTGAGTTTTGCGTAACTTTTTTTTTTAGTTATATCTAAGTTAAAAATAAATTATTAACATAATAGATTTGCAATAATACCATTGAATGCGTACGATATTTTTATTTATATATCTTCATCTTTTATGGTTTCATAATTATTATCCACTAATGTATTTAACTGAATAAAATACAAAATCAATTTATATAAATTTAGTTTACTCGATATGTAGTAACATCAAGACACCGCAGATTCTTACACGGAAATAACAAATTACAAATATCCATCCAATTAATATGCTTTATTTTATTTTATCTAATGTGGTTTTAATATCATATAATATTATTAATAATATTCCCATTGTATTTAATGATTTTTCCAAAATCTATATTTTTATATAATACTATACATAAATGTACTAATACTAGCTAAAATTAAAATATAAATTACTTTTGAGGGAATTTTTTTTTTTTTTGTTTCGTTTTTGTTTTTTTTTTTTTTTTTCCTATTTTTATATAGACGTATCTATCAAAAACCTTCGAAAATAGATAATCTACATGAATATAGTATCTTTCCCCACCATATCGACAATCCTCATCTCGTTATTATTTAATAGCACATACATCCTCGCTGGTACTGGCGTTGGCCTAAGACATGTTGTCTGTAAAACAAATTCACGCGTCGTTGGTGGTGGAAATGAATCATTAAGTGGTGCTGTATTTTCAAGCAAGAGTTTTATAAAATTATTTACATTAATCTTGAGTATACACAAAATTCTATTTTATCTATTTACATACCAACAGAAGAAAACAATTCGTATACGCTTTCACGCTCTTTCCCATCGGAAACTTGACTTTCTGGTATTTCCAAAAGTTTTTCAACAAGAGAATACTGTTTAGGTAACTATAAATTTATCGTTTAGATATAGTAAAATTTTCGCAAAAAAAAAAAAAAAAAAAAAGTTGTTAAAAATGTTGATTACCTTTCGTAAGAGTGAAATTGCTTTACCAATTAATAATTCATTTTGTCTTATCATTTGGATTATCCCATCACATGAGACATTTTCTGAGCTGTCATTTGTAATTATTAGTTATTGTAACTGGCGATCAGAAATTTACAAAGTTTATTCACCCTATATCATTCCATGGGAATCTAGTCAGTTCCTTCATCAACATCTCCAAGCCAGAAGCTACTTGTTTGATATTCTTGGTGACAGGATGAGATACTAATGTGTCATATGCGATAAGAAACATTGTAGGCAAGAGCCTGGTTTTATAATAAGCAAGATATAAGATACCATAAAATATTTCAAGAAATGATAACAAGATAAAAATAAGGACCAACATTTTAAATAAATCTTTTACGGATAAATGCTCCAAATAATGAAACGCCTAAATATAAATTGCAATCAATCTTATAGTAAAAAATTATCATTTTTAAATTGAATTATATAAATGCGTTATACCTTCTCTCCTTCCAGAGAACATTTGAACAGCGGATTTTGACGTGTCGCAGGTATTCGCTGAGCACTCTAAACATTATGCATAATGATGCCTTATTTTCAATAAGTCACAAAATAGTTAATTGCAATGTATATATTATTTTACCTTCCACAATTCTTGCCATAAATTGCCCTCTTCCAACATTCGTTGGCTAAGAGTTCCCTTGTTTGGATTATCGTTATCGGGTATCCAATCACGTGGAGAATGCCATCGAATAAAGTCTTCCAAGATAGCATGGGGGTTTGCTGCTTTGAAAGCCTGCATATCTGAACGAGAATTATAAAAAGATCAGATCAGATAAACATCCATATTCAGGAGCTTAAAGTGCTTACCAGACAACAATTGCGCCGATTGCATTTGAGCTCGTACTTTAGTCGCATCTTCTGATGTGCCCAATTTTTCAAATATCTCCTCTTGTTCACGTAACATATCTTCGGTCATGAAACCAACTTCCTATAAATATTAGTGTCGAACAAATTTACCAAAGGTTATAATCAAATATAGTTGAAATCGAAATTACACATACCTGAGTTTCTGGTACCCAAAGAGGTTCACCGGTTTCCAATAATGTGAGATCATTGAACGGATGCAAAAGACCTTCTCTTTCATTTTCACCATTTACCTCTCTATGAACCTCATCCTCGTTTATTGTAAGCTTTTCTTTATCAAATTCTTTATTTGATTCCATGCTGACTGAATAATCAAGTTTTACATAAGATTCTGCCAGATGATCAGAAAAGGATGGTGGCGTTGATGAATACGCTTGACCCTGGGAATATGAAGATGATCGTCGTGAACGAAATAAATTAGATTTGGTGCTTTTAGGAATTCGTAGAGGAACAGTTGGTGCCTCATTTTCATTTATCGGATCAAAGAAATCATCCTCCGAAGAACCATCATAATCTTGATGCACTGATTCAAAATCTAAGCTGGGAGAATTAACATGCTAAGAATAAATATAGGTTTGCAAAATAAATATTTAAGTATTAAATTTAAACTGAAAAAAACGGTAAACCACTATACATCTTACATTCGAATATTTCCCTCCATTAGTTGCTGTAGTTGCTGTGCTTATTATATCAGCGTGACTAGTACCATTCGAATTCTCTGGTCTCACAACCACCATTGACGCTGAAGGATCTATATTAATTTCATCATCCTCCGTAATATGATCATATAGTCGAACCAGAAAACTATCGGAGTTTGCCATTTTTGGATCCAAGCTGGAAGATTTATCTGGCTTTATAGAACTAGACTCTAATGACCCAAAAGAATTACTTTCGGGCAATTGCTCTTTAGATGAATTAAAACTTGTAGATAAGGTTGGATTATTTTTTTGAGATTGCCGTAGACGTTCAATACAACAATTAATCATGCACAATTTTTGATGAACAAGATTAAATCGCATATCAATTCCAATAGTGGTATTGTCATTTTTACTACCACTTTTATTTTCAATAGTTGAGCCATTTATATCTCGATGAAAAGGCAAAGAACTTGAATTATCGGACCAGTTAAATATGCTAACGTCGGGTATGGGATCGTTTCTCTCCCAATGCCACCGGATACGCTTAAGTACTTCGTTCCAAACTATTTTCAAGGATCCTAAAAGCGAATAACTTCTGAAATTAGATGCTCTAGAGACTGTTTCTAATAAATACTCGAGGAGATTCCACATAAAAGACTTGTATGGTACAGTCCTTGCATGATTAAAATGAAGGCCTAGCGTTGCTGCAGAAAGAAGAGTAATACCACTTGAAGTTTTAATACCTTCAGAATTATATGGTGTAGGCCTTTTATTTCGTGGCACATTAAATAATACTCGTAATATATTATCGATATCTACATCATCCATATCAACAATTAAGCCAGTAGATTGTCGGACATAACGAGCTGTCTCAAACAAATCATAATTATTGAAGCTACCTGGCAAATCGCGGTTGGGTATTTTCCTTGGTTCTCTATTATTTGAAGTTTCCAAATTATTGTTACCGCTATCAATAATCCAAGAAGAAATTGTATTATCTATAAGGCTAGACAATAAGCCATGTAAATTGTCTTCTTGATAAAATTTACATTTCAACAGCCAAATAGAAGCACCCATAGCATCCATTTCAAAATAAACATCATTGTCTAAATATGTATGACTTGGTGCAGAAGGAAAAAAAGCGGTAAGCGATATTGATTCAAGTGGATCGCTAATTGGTCCAAAAGGTAAATTTGTTGTCGAAACAACCGGTGAAACAAATTCATCAGAAGATGGTTGCGAAAAATTAGACGTATCCTTTTTATCCTCATTCTCAAACATGCTACCATTTTGCCTTTCAAATCCTTTAAAAAAATCTTCTTCAAATGAAGCATCTTTACCGCTTGAATTATTAAGAGAAGTAGGCTGAATATCGTCATAATCAAGATTTTTCCAGTCTTGGTCATCCAAATTTTGTAACTCATAAGTGAATAAGCCAGCAACGGAAATTCCAAGATGCGGCATCTTGTCTAATTTAGGTTCATCAATTTGATCTGTTTAACCAAAATCATATGATTGTCAGATCTAGGTATGTTATCAATTAAGTCTAATTTTCGTATTAGCACAATAAAAATTAAATAATCTTGATAAATTTTTTTCAACTAACTCACCGAAAGGCAATTGATTTAAATCCATTTTTTCAATAAAGAGATCTGTTAAACCCGCTAAATGTGAATAGCCAGATGGAATCTCTCGAATGTAGGTAGTACTAAACCTTATTTCTACCTCACTAGCATCATCCACATTTTTTGACCCATCTTTGTTAAACCAACACATATAACCGGCATATAATAAATTTGTAATCTGGCCGGTTGGAACAAAAACAGGGAGCTTACATTTTATATTATGAAATACAATGGCAAAAGATGAAAGAAGAATTTTGGTAGTACTAAGATCAATTGTACTAGATTTTTGAGTGGATCCAGAAGAAAAAATATCGGTCGGTGTCAAAACTAAAATATGAGTAAGACCAGTCCATCGATGAATTGTACTTAAATTTACTGACGATAAGTCATGTGAAATATTAGGAAGAGTGTGTGGAAGGAATTCAGAACTAGGTGAAAATGGATCAGAATTTGGAGGAAAAAGTGTTGTTGTAGGTGGAGGGGGGAAATGTTGTGAAGGAGAGCTGCTTTTAGAGAGTGAATTAAATTCATTCCAGCGTTTTATTGGGTGATAGTGATAAGATAAAGTATAAGACTTATCCTCAAGAACAATTATTTCTCGTTTCACAAAAGGATCTATACCTCCAACCGTCTTAGTATATGTTTTATGACTAAGAGGTGGTAAATTCGATTCGTCAAATATTCCAAGTTGGCCGTCTGTTACTTTCCAGCCCACTAATATTTCTTCAACAGTAGTTATAAAACGTTCCCACTGTGAGGCTGCTGTATAGTCGACAAACTCAAAATGTTCGTCGTCGTCAATAGGAGAGGTCGGACAAGAGACATCCATTTGTTAAGAAACGGCTTTTATGATATTGAATTTTCGGGACACATATAACGTTATTGTGATATTGTTGGGCGAAGAAAAAAAAAAAATCATTTATATATTCAGGAATTTGTGTAATGTACACGCACACGTACGTACGTACGTACGTACACGTATTATTTTTCTATTATACTTTTCAGCCAATAATGAAAGACGTATGTATTGATATCGACGCAGTATTTCTAAAATATTATTTTTACTACAATTTGTCTTATTGTCCGGGGGTTCAATTAAAAAATATTAATAATATAGTATAAAAATTTTTTTAAATAAAAATTTAAACCTATAAAACTTACTTTAAATTTTATGTTTTTGACTATAAAAATTTTTTATTTTTTATTACAGTATAATTTTTTTTTTCTTTTAACCTCGCACTAATTTTTATTAAACATAAGGGGGCTTATACTTTTTTTTAATAGCAATACCTGGCTGCTTTTTTAAAAGTGCCCGAATATAGTTATTGCACTACTGCAGATATATTGAAGTATATTTTTTTTAAATATTTTATTATTAAAATTTTGACCATCATCAGCAAAAATATATATGCGTAAACTTTCGTAAGTTTTTACAGTGCGTAAGAAAATCGTAAACCTACATAAAATTTAGCATAAAACTACGTAAATCTTACGGTGCGTAAGAAAATTTACGTAAAAATTTTATGTTGGTTTACGTATATCTTACGCACTGTAAAAACTTACGAAAATTTACGGAAGTATATAAAAATTTATAAATCCTAAAATTTAAATCTCAAGAAAAATAAAAC